CCGCTGTCGAACAACACCAATACACCGTCCTCGTCCGATCCACCACTCGCACTCCATCGTTATTGTAGTCCACAGGGAACCCGAAATGTTCCCACACAGCTGATTTAAAAGAAGCAGGTGGTTCTTCTAGCTCAGGGGTGGGCAAACTTTTTGGCTCGGGGCCATTATGAGTTTTAAAATTTGACAGACGGGCCGGGCCAGTAGCAGATCGGTGAAAAAATATTTAGCTGTCCACTCCTTATTAAACATTCAGCACTCATTGTCGACTTTTCTTTTCTTTGGTCAACTCATTGTTACAGATGCAGGTTCAAAGGTGAATTAGGTTCAAAGGTGAATTATTGCGTCATGACGTAACCGTTTACGTGCCTTCTTATGACCCACACAGCGTTTTGCGTCGCTGATTTTCTCCGAAACACCGCTCACAACAACATCAATAGAGAACTGCGTCGGGTAGTGTTTAATCATACGAAGCCAGATTAAATTAAATAACGACTTCTCCAACCTTATAATTTTCTCCTGAGTGTCGTGGTGCATTGTTTATTAATGTGGTTCAGCGGCATTACCACCCGCTGCAGCGCTGCTCGTCCACCGGAGTTTATTCTCCCGTTAACTCACGGCAGCGGCCGCTGTAAAGTATTCACTGTCTGACTGTCACACAAGCAGCTGATACATATCCCCAATTCCCCATAAGTGAAAGTGTGTCAGTCTGAATTGACGCTGTCTGGCATCACAACGCTGTTATGAAAGTTTCTCTGGCATTCTACAGGTGATGTTAGCATAGCAACCGAAGCTAATCAGACTATCTTGACTACTTGTTGCTATCATATTGTGGCATAAGCCGTTTTCTAAACGCATATTTTACCGGTGTAGTTTTCGTTATGATTTTACTTGTGATAGCCACATGTAGCCCATGTATTGATGCCATCCGATAGCTGCTATAATACAAAACAAAACGTCTGCCTGCTCTCCACAATGATCAATAACAGCGAACGGATGGTCAAAGTAAGGTACAAATAAACAGAATCACACGAAGCCTGGTTAGTGTTGCCTGACTTTATAAAGTGTGTTTTTGTTTACAAGTGTGTGGTTTGCTCAGCGCTACTGCTTGTTACAACTTGTATTTGCCGTACTCGCCATGAACTGTTATGGCTCAGGTTAATCTCGCCCCCCTCGGACGTAAGCGTGACCTATTTGGTTCTTAGATCTTGCCGGGTTGCCGAGTGGGGCCAGCTGAATAGACCAGAGTCCAGCAAAGGTCAATTGTGTCTAGAGTCCGCCATCTAGTGGGATCGACTGAAATGCCGGGTATTGCAGGAAAAAGGCTAAATGAATGCGCTCTTTACTATAATTTGGACAATTTTGCACCAATATTCGGCGGGCCAGATTAAAAAGATGAATTACAGCAAACATGTGCAATATATCCATTATTACAGCTCCGTGGGCTGGCAGTAAGGCGATATGGGTCTTATTGTGCATCCTTGGGTAAAGATAAACGCATGTAGTGCTGCTGCTGAACACGTAACATGAACGTGCCGGGCGGCGCGGTCCCGTGGGTTAGATGCACGTTCATAATGCAGAGGGAAATAACTCACAGAATAACGTTATTAGCACATTTTTACAACTTGAGGAACGAATGTTTTTAATAAGGGCTATACAAGTGTTCATACTGGGTAGTTTATTTAATTTAAAAAAAATTATCCAACGATTTACAGACCACTCTTTCCCCATGTAAGTCGATGGGAAAAATTGTTTCCGGGCCTGGCAACCAAAAGGAAGTGTAGTACCGCCGTTTGGCCAGCACGAATATTTTCATCTGAGTCCGGCGCACTTCCTGGGGGCTTGGTTCTAGCTCCTGTGTGTTATCTAAAATCGCCATACTAACTTTTCTTCTTCTTGTATTTTGTTTGTTTTGTTGTGTTTTCTTCTTGTTCTTCATTTGTTGTTTAAGGGCGGCTGGCAAACAGCTTTTAGGCGCAATACCGCCCCCTGGATTATATATAGTGTAATGGATACTGCCCTGAGTGACAGACTTTTTTCCCACTCATAAAAAAAGGCGTATTCGTCGTGTGACTGCATGTGCCGAACTGTGACGTCCGAACTGTGACGTCTGAACCGTGGCGGTTCGGGACGAATATGGATACCGTTACACCCTAATATGAAGGGAAAGGTTTTGGAGTCACGCACTGCTCAGGTTATAAGTTATGAAAATATATTTTCTGGTGCTACAGTTAATGATTGTGCCCTCTATTTCTACTGCGGCTCAAATTGACTTTGCACTGAGGCCGTTTACCGAAGTCAGCCATGCATGACGAGTTATTTTAAAGGTGGTGTGGAGAGCTGACGTGTGGCTAGGCCAGGCCAGGGCAGCGGCTGGGGTCTCGGCTTAGTGCCTCAAGCCCCTCGCTCCAATGGTCACACAGCATCAGCTCCCGGCCCGAGCCCGGACACTGATTTATGGGACAGGGGGATTACCTTCAAACCAGCCGTGAGGACCACCCAGATGGTGGCACAGGACGACAGCCGCACAAACACACACAGGCACACAAAATTAAATATACTTATACAATCATACAAGCACTTACTGTACATGCATCTCTTTACACAGACACCTAAATAAATCTACTTACTTAAATAAATAGTGACTTATACACAGACAAAAATCTTGCTATCAGGATATTAAATATTAAAGATTGTGGAAATAAACAAGCATGAAAACTACATATGCCATTTTTAATGACACTGCTAACCACACACATGCACTAGGAGGGATTAGTTGAGGCTTCCTCATTAGCTTTAAGATAGGAACCAACATTGCTCATCAAAGATCATATGTATCTACAGGATGTGCCTTGATAGAAGTAATTCCTCAAAATCACATCATTTTTTCTCACATAATTTAGCATAATGCGTTATTGAAGGGTGACGAAATGTTTATATTTTTTCTATCTGGACTGACCTTTATATATACAGTCTATGGGACTGACCCAAGTCCTAAACAAGAACTTTCTATGTAGTGACAGATGGCGAGCAGAAGCTGGTCCCGAACTCTGGTTTTCATCAATTTTGTAAACTCTCTAAAATTGTTGACATTTAACTTGATCATGATGTTTAATAATTAACTTTCCACTTTTGCCTGATGCAGGTTTGGACTCCGCATTTTCATTCTGAATGCATTTACTATCCCTAATACTTTTCCACCAAGTCACATTTTCATCTAGGAACATGTGCAAATACACTGAGCAAAAGAGAGAAAAAAAGAAGAAAAGCACATATTTCTCACTTGCCGGGGCACAGCGCAACTCAACTTCAAGGCATCAGATGGATGGGCTTAACAATAAGATTCAATGACAAATCGGACGTGGTGCATTCCTTGAGCAAACACTCACCTCATAAAGGGAGACGGGTAGACAAACACTCACCTGCCCTAAGCTAATAACTTGTGTGGAGGCAAACACACACCCAGCCACACTTAATCTTGTTGATATGTTGGGGAAATGAGAGAAAATGAACTGCTGAAAACTGTGCTAGAATAAAAATAGGACCTGATTTCAGCTCAAAAATCAAAATGTAGTATTTTTCAAAACAAAATCCTACCAAAGAGGAAAGCCGGATCTATTTGTACTATTTTACTGTGCTATAGAACGTTACAATTGACTAGTACACAACTATAATGTACTGCTAGTTTAAGGTTTCTCTTAAACAAAGCAAAACAATTAACATACATTTAATTATTTTAACTATGGCCAACAAAATGGCTGCAGGAGGAGGTTTGATAAGGCTTACACATAATGTTTTTTTCTGATAAAGTGACATTAAAGACCTCATGTTGTGGTCACGTGTGTGTTCATATCTCCAAAGATATTTGCATGTTTGTGTCAGAAAAACATTCATGACTGGACTTACTTTCCTCCCAAACAAACCACACACATTTTCCCCCATGGCCTTCTTTCCCAGCAAAGCAAAGCAAAGCAAAGTGACAGCACAGCTTCAGCGGGATGCACCCTCAACATTTCCTGACCATGTAATTCTCTCCAGCTGCCTTCTGATTGGATACTAAGAGGCAGCGAGGATGAAGAGAAGAGTGGTGCGGTTGTGGTGGAGGGTGGCGGGGAGCTTGTTGGCAGCGGACGCATGAGAGAAAACAAATTCCTGCCCCATTGCCATGGAGATGAGTCAACAGCAGGTCGGGGGGGGGGGCAGAGAGGGCCGGGGGTTGTGGGGCACAGGGTGACCTGCTGTAGTTAACAATTCATCCCCGTATCCGGCTCCCAAATGATTGGGCAAACACGGAGTGCTGCGGAGTCAAAAGGGCCCCAAGGGGCTGAGAGAGGTGCATCACCCTGGGGTGACATGCTGACAGGCACACACTGGTTGGGAGAGGGTGGACCAGTTGAATGAGGGAGTAAGGGATAGGGGGCACCAGTGGAAAGGGAGGGGGGCTGATGGGATGTGGGAGAAGGGCTAAGTACATTGAGTACCACAGGCTATAGCACAGTCACAAAACAGTATTGATGGCTGTGGCTTTAAAAAGCAGTGTCATTAAACGGTTTGTGTTAAAATGTCATTTTGAGGATGAGAATAATCTCTTAAGTAAACCACAACAAATACCACCCCGTAAATTATGTTTAAATTCTTTATGTTAAGCTAAATAATTAACATTTGGCTGCCAGTTGTGCCAACAGTTAAAGTAGGTGTTGCGTCACTTTTATAAGCCTAAACCACAGTAACACTAAAAGTCCCTGGCATATGTCCGCTTTGTTTAGGATAGTAAAAACAGTCAGCACATCTGCGTAAGCCACACGATCTGTAAAGTAAAACACTACTGGACAAAAAAGCTTGGCGAAATGAATATAACATCACGTTATGACAGTTAAGCTTGCCCAATAGGGACACGGCTAAGACTACAGACGTAGCAGAGGTTTACAGAAGAGAACTTTAACACTGAAACACCACAAGCACACTGAGACTATTTGCAGTCTTTAGAAACATTATATACTCACCAGAGGATCCCTGGGAAGCAATTAAAGGTTGACATCTCATTCCAAGAATTTGGATTTCTTCACTGTGAAAAAAATCAAAAGAAGACAAACGTCACTTCACACACCAACTAAAGTATAATATTCCATCTGCTTAACTCTTCACTATCCGTTTGCTCAGCTGGGTTCATTTAGGTAAAACAGTGTTAGAGCATGTAATATGAGGTACAAATGGAAAAAGTGTTCAAAGCCTCAACCCACAGGACCAGGTTCCAAAACACTGACCACTTTTCAAAGGTGCAGTGCGCTGCTTGACAATAATAGTTCAGGGACAGAAATAACAGACGGGTGGATCTCATCAATGTCACATCATACAGAATAAGAACCACAACGCTTCAATACTGTACTTAAAAAAGGCTAGACTTTTAGTAGTGTAAGGTTTTGTCTCAGTCAGCAGAAGCCGTCATTTACAACTTCATGCACTGTCACAGCTTGGTTTGCTCCCCAGAAAGGCAAACCAAATCCCATTATCCATTTGGCCATCTTACTTTCAGGGGTTGAAATGCCACCATTACAACAAACCTTTCACTGGGCAGCAGTGTAAGGAGGGTGTGTAAGCAGAGAGGACTTGTTACTGGTTCCTTACTGCTACTAACGTCAGAGCGCAGTTTTCATAAACACTCATGAAGCATGTCTTTCCTTTAGTGGGAATTAGTATCCTCTCTATAATAATCCACCCAACAAATCTTATAAATGAAAAACAGGACTGCATTATTTTATAGTGCGTCTGAAAAAGAGTGAGGAAGGAACAAAAACAAGTGGAAAATAAAAATGATGATAAAAATAGCAGATGTTGAGAGTCACTTCTCGAAAGGTGTGTCATTCAGGGAGTTTGGGATGAAGTTCTGGCTGCAGCCGAGCTCTAAATTTAGCATATTTACTAAAATAAAAAGTGAGTTCAGTCGCTGGCACTGGAACTTTCTCCTCCCCGTTTATGACCTCAGTGGTGCAGCCGGCGTCACTCATGACGAAATACAAACCATATAAAACAAAGAAAAAAGACCTCCTCAAATACCCTGAGTACATAAGCAAACAACCACAATCTAATTTCCCTATAAATGATCTTATTATGGCAGTACAAGTCCAGATAAACAGAGAAATATGGTTGTGTTCATTCTAAATTTAGACCTTTAGACTTTGAGCATGAATCACCTTTTACAAAACAACTTTTAACTGAAGACAGTCTCTATTTTTATTTGAGAACTAAAGTGATTCGCGTTTAAATGAATGTATACTTGACTGTGTGTACATAAAGGGAATAAAGGATGTATGACACATGACACAAGCTACTGTGTTTGTTTACTGTCTCCATACATGCCTGGGATGAGCCTGTGTGCGGCAGGCTGGGGAAGAGGATGCCCCTGGGCCAGGCTGAAGAGTAAGTGAAGCAGAAGTCCCATCTAAGCTCTAAAGCATGCAAGTATCAGGCCTGTAACTAAAACACAAGCATAAACACAGGCGATGTTAGGGATTACACCCTGCAATATCGCCGCAGGAAACCACAGACAGCACAGGTGTAACCATCGCCGCGGACACATTCTTCCACATCTCCGTTCTGCCAGTGGCGGTCTGACTGACAGCTCATCGTCTAACCTTGTCGGCTGTGTGAAACTTGTGTAAATATCTGCAGGGGGTTTGTATGTATCTTTGAGTACATGCGTGTTAGCCTGTGTGTGTGTGTGTGTGTGTGTGTGTGTGTGTGTGTGTGTGTGTGTGAGTGTGACTGTGAGTGTGCGCGTAGTAGAAGCCACAGGTGAGGAGGACACACACACAGAGAAGGATTACAATGGCCTAATGTCATGTCAAAGAAGCCTTGCAGCACAATACCACACACTGTACATTTTTCTTCGAGAATCAATGTTATTGTTTTTTAATTTGTATTATTTGTCTCACTTTACCTTGGGAGTTAAATCTGATCTGATATATATTTTGAAAATAAGAAAATACGCTTATAGCAATAAATCAAAGATACACACATAACATTGTAAACCTTTTTACTAATAAGGTAGAAAACATTATGTTTCTAGAGCATTAGTTAGCGTAACAAGGGAGGGGGGAGGAAAGCACATTTCCTCAGTAAACAGCACCCTCTAGAGCAACACTCTCCATGTAATCCTACCCCTCACTCTCATTGTTGCTGCCTTTCTTTATAAAAATCAAGACAGTTATACTAAGATTCATCAGGAACAGTTACTTAACATAAAATGCTAAGAAATCCATTCAATTGTCAAAATATGAAAATCCGTCAAAGCCCACAGGCTTATGTTTTTTCTTGTGTAAGGTTTACCAAATAAGCAGGTTGTTTTGTTCTTTGGCTTATTTCTGGGCCACATACGCACAATTACAGAGGTGAGGTTGAACCACTCATTTTCCCAATGTGAGTTGATAATGAGGCAGGCCGTTATTAAGATGTTTGCTTTAATCGTGTGCAGGGTTATTAGGGGGGGTTTACAGTACACAAGAGAGATTATCGTAGGCCACGCATGACGGAAAGGGCTGAGGAGGCCAACGATAAGCCAGCTACCCACAACTGTGAAGCGAGCTGAGAAATATGAGCGCACAGTAGGACATGAAATCCAGCAAGACAAACCTCTCTCCCCCTCTCTCTCTTTCTTTCTCTCTCTGTCTCATTTGCCCTCTCTTTTTCGCCTCAAATCATGTTACACAACCACAAAGGAATGCCTTGTATATCGGAGACAGATTTAAAACAAGAAGAAAGAAAGGAAACAGTAAAGAGGGGATCACAGAGGGATCTATAGAAGCAGTAGGTATTGTTTGCTTCCTTTCTGTTTGTATAAAAGTTTGTATGAGAGAACTATAAAGGCACACTGCAGTGACACACAAGTCCAGACACATACGCACCTAACTACTTCACACAAGCTTACATAAACTAAATCACAGTTGTGTGCACCAACCCGAGAGCACTGCATGTTTCATCTATATTTTTCCATTCCTTTAATAATAGACATTTCTGTTCCAATACATTTCGTTGGAATTTAGGGAGCACTTGGAAATCCATCATTTTATGAGCTTTAAACTTTCCCACAGATTTCCCACTGTTTCTTCCGTGCATTTGACCCACACACATTAAAGTAGCACTCAATTAGAGCGGCACTCGAAGCCTGAAATGTGGCACTTGTATGCTACTTAAACATGACATATAACACTCAAGTTTATGAGACCCGTTGTATTACAACAACAAAAACGTTCCATCTATGTGGACAATGGAAAATTATTGAAATACAATTAAAAGAGAGAAGTTAAAAAAACAAGTTTCAACTGAGACCAAAACTGAGTAAAATCGTGTTGGTAGGGATGGATCATGAAAATCCACACATATTATCTATTATCTTTGATAAGAAAACACAAGTTTAATTTACATCAACATTAGGCCTGTCTTCATTGCTTAAGATGATTTAGCTGCCAAACTAGCAAACCACAAATGCCTGAGATTAAAATGAACATTTCACACATATTTTTGCACAGCACAGTTTGACAGAATTAGTAAAAGGTGTGTTTGTGTGTGCGTGTGTGCGTGTGTGTGCGTGTGTGTGTGTGTGTGTGTGTGTGTGTGTGTGTGTGTGTGTGTGTGTGTGTGTGTTTATCCAAATGTGTACCAAGTTAACAGAAGGTCAGAGTAGTGAAGTATTGTTTGCTCTCTTCCATGTACTCTTGGGGACCAGTCTGTTTGAGAGTTTGAACAGTGACGTGTGAAACCAGTAAAAACAGGACATAGCGCCACTGTGTTTGCTCAAGAACACCCAAAGAATGGACTGCCATTACAAAACAAATCCCTCAGCCTGCATTCCTCCTGTCCATCAAACCTTACCTGCTGAACAAGATATGACACAGAGCGGAAGAGGTAGTTACAAGAAGATCTACTTCATGGCGGGATGACTTGCAATTTGTTCAAAAGTTGGCAGCTCTCTGACCTTCATATCTGACCTCAGGAAAGAGGCATGCATCCACACGTTTGCATAATATGCTCTTTCCCTCTCTCCTCTGAGTATGAACATGTGCACAACTAATGCAGATAAATACTGTAAAAATGGTCCCACAAGCAGGCATTAAACACACATGATATTTAGTAAATGTGAGTAAATAATACGTTACTTTAAATGTGTGATTGGTTGAATAGTGATCCTTAAAATGTAGTTATATAATTTAGCCAATAACGCTGCAGATATACTGTTGGACCTATGTACACCTGGGCATAATACTTCCACAATGACCTTGCAACATTGTTAATCATGTCTACAGCACAGTTTATCAGCTGAACAATACGAGTTTGCAAACATCATTTTTGAATTGAAAAATTGGGAACACAGCACACTTGAGTCATCACTCAAACTTCTGATGTCCAGCTGTTCGTTTAAAGTTTAATTTGACCTTTAATTTGTTTATTCTACAGAGAGCATCTAAATCCAGTCCCAACCTTCCTGCCATAACAGATCAATAGATCTAAAGACAAAACAGGTCAAAATATGAAACCATCCGAAATACCCATATGCTTCCAATAATAATAGCAAAAAATAAAATATAAAATTAAAAATCTATTTTATTTGATCTATTTTGATAATAAATATTTGTAAAATGCACAATATTTTCTAATCAGCTACAGCTCCTGAAATATGGGTTTCTTAGTTTTACATGATTGAACTGTTTATCAGATTATATCATTTTTTAAATGTATATTTAGAATTGTATACTACGTTCTGATCTTCTTTTTTTATTCTAAATGGAATAACAATGAAACAAATGGGGCATAAACTAGATATTATTATAATAATTGTTTAAACAGTTCCTTTTCTTTTTTTTCAATTATTGTATTTTATCCATGGTTAAACGTTAATTTAGTGACATGTAGATTGTAAAGAAAAAGCAGCAAATGCTCAGGTTTGTGAAGTTGTAACAATAACATTTTATCAATATTGCCTAAAAGATTTCTTTAAGGAATAATAGAAATGCTATATAATTGTAGATGACTTGATCAACAAACACTTATTGCAGCCCTGATTTATACTTT